AACCTCAACACATTGCCTAAATTATACAGATTGATACCACCTAATATGCAATATGCCAGCTGCTGCCACCTTAAGCCATGCAGCAGAACATCTTCTCCTGTCTGCAGATCGTTGACCTGATAAAAGTAATGTCTGGAGTTCTGGCAGCATCTCCTTCCTGCCCTCACATATACAGGAATGTTTCTATTTATTGACCCATCACCTGATCATGCAGGCTGAGGATGGTCGGACCATGCATGTACACCCAACTGCCTCCATAGTTCTGAGAGTTTCTCAAGGCATGCCATTGTGTCTTTCAGTTACCTGCCCAGAATTTCCAGAAGCTCTGCTACACCATTAAACCGTTCTGTCTCATAGATAAATCTGCAAGAAGAGATAAACACAATAAGTAAAAAGCCATGGCTCTCAACATCTTGAGGCATTTTTGATGGGTTCCTATACAAAACAAACTGTATTAGATATTTTTATTTGGTTCAAAGGGGAAAATTATCCAAAAGTGATATTTCCATTATAGTCACTAGGGATGAGCAGGGTTTCCAGCAGTCATACTGACAATGTGCTTATCTAGCATAGGGGACGCGTAGAAGTGCTGTTGATAAAACGCATAGACAGATTAGTGTAAGGCTTGTAGGTACCGATGTGTTAATGTAAGTGTAAACCCCTTGCTTAAAGTCCTTTAGGAGCACATATGCTGTTTATTTGGGGCTGGGAAGGACTTTTACATACTAATGTATGCCCTGCAGCTTCTTTATAGCCTCTCCAAATGCACTGTCTACAGTCATAACAAGTTGAATGTCTGTTTTTAAAAGGGCATATTTTCTATTTTTATACTGGCTGCAATTTATTTTTTACAGCCTGTCCCTTAGTCTACATGCATGTCACTGCTAGGCGACTGCAGGTGTATTTTTACAGGGCATATTCCCAAACTGTCGCTTGCTGCATTTTTTAAAGATCTTTCTTTTGTAAAAAGAGTGTAATATTCTTGGACAATGTGCATAAGCACTGAAGCTTATTTTTTTACTTGGTATGGCGTGTGACAGGGTAATTTGCAGGCAGGTGATTGTAGGAGAGAGGGAAAGAGCATTGTCATCCCATAAGTGTCCAAACAAGGACCTTTATATATTAGTATCTCCAGCTGTTATCACTTATATGATATTTTAGTCGTTGGGTTAACATATACTTTAACAAACTATGTTTGAGTTCTATTGCAGTGATGGGGTACATTGTCCCTTTTTAAAACACATTTTTTGGCAGCTGTGGCAATAGGGGTGGGGTAAATATGTGGTGCTTTGGTGCACACAATTTTACGCATAAGTAAATTTTGATGAGCCGCAAGCAAAGAGCAACTTTCTACGTCAGCAACAAGGGTACGCTGCCAAAGTTCCGAACACAAAGGGAAGGACGGGCAGCCTATGGCCTTAGGATTGTACACCTAGGGTGTACACATTTTTGCTGTCCAGGTGTGAGACTGGCTGACAGTTTATGTTTCTCACCTACATTGGGTGAGTGGCTCCAGGGTTTGTGTCTACTATGGAGAAAAAAACAAGCTTTTTGGTTTACTTAGAGATTAATGAGTTTTGGTTTGGGTCCTGGAGTTTGGAGGCATTGTAGAGCTTTGGGTGGGATAAAGCCTCCATTTCGGAGTCATCATCTTAGATGGAAGCCAGTCCTCATTGACTGTGCAGCTGTGCACAGGTCATTTTGTTTGGGAGCCAACTGAGACTTAGGGCTCCCACACCCAATAAACAGAGTAAGTGTTGCTTGGAGCAGACTAGTGGGTCTGATTGGACCAAGGTTGCCAGAAGTATTTGCTGGTGTGGTGTGATTTCGGAAAATCCTGACAGAGCACAGCCTGATGTAAAGGAACTTTTATTTAAAAAAAAAAAAAGGGCAGAAAACCCCTAATAAAATATTAGCAAGTGGACTAAGTCCTTAAAGGTTCTAGGCTTGAAGCTAAAATTCTTTTCTTCTTCTTTAAAAAAGCTTTAGGGTGTACTTGAGAAACTAATATGCAGATAGAACTGAAGCTACATATGAAAAGTGTACAAAGCATCCCCTTTCCAAATTCTCACTAAAAGTAAAAACATAGATCTCCGATCAAAAGATTGACTTCTGGTACCTGGCAGACCTGTAAATAGACCTGTATGGAATGCCTGTACATGAAACAATCTGCAGTCCATTGAAGAATGGGCTTAGGCAGTGAGGGGAATATTTGCACACTTTTATGTGTAAACTCAGTTATATTTAAATTTGTAATATTTGTTGTTATATATGTAGAAATAGTGGAAGCTAATCCCCCCAGCAGCCATGACTAGTATGTGGTATTATGCTTTAGGAATCTAAGAATATCATCTAAGGCATCTAATGTGCAGTAAATATAAAATCACATGAAGTTGGAGTTGATCACTGATAAAATCATCGATTGACTATTTGAAAACAGTGAATCCTTAAAGGAGATCTATGAGGTTAGAGAAAATCACTAATCCTCATAGTTCGAGCTGATGTGTGACAATGAAACTGTCACAGGTCGGCTCAATAGATCGGGAAGTGAGCGAACGCATACTGTCGCTCGCTCACTTCTCAATCATTCTCCCTGCGGAGAGTGGTGACTGTCAGTCACCGCTCCCCGCAGGGATTCCCCCCGCCCCGCTTCGTTCCTCGAGCGCTGACTGGAGAAACAAACGGGGGAGGGGGCGGGTACAGTTGTCATTCACGCAGCTGGGTGGATCTCGACAGCATTGTCGGGATCTGTCCCGGCTGCGGCGGTCTCAGTATACCGCGAGCTGTAGCTTGCGATATACTGAGCTTTGGGTCACGGGAGGATGCTAGTGTATGTCCTCCCCTGACCCTTAGGAGAACTATGGGGAAACGCTTACCCCATAGTTCTCTTTTAACCAGTTAAGTTCCATAGCCATTTTCACTTTTCAGCGATGGGCCTAGTAATTTGGCAATAACTTTGCTATGACTTATTATATAGAAGTGAGACATATATTATAACTAATTCCTTCCTACCATCATTAACACAAGCATTCAATGGCATAGACAATAAAAAAAACACTCATTCTTGTAAACTGTACTTAAGGAAAATGTTGTTGCACTGTTTTCTGATATATGCTCTCAGTCCCAGAAATTTTCCATAAACACGATGCAGAATAGTCTTCAAATATTCCCGCTCACGAGGATCTTCACTATCGAACAGTTCCAGGAGCTACAAAACCAGTGAAAGTGTTATTCAGCCTAATTTCAGTTGTTTTTTTTTTTACAAATCCACTAAACACAAATTGTAGACAATGATATACAGAAAGAATTGGATTGTGGCAGGTGCCCTTTACATGCATATGTGGCATTTGGACCATGGAGGGCTTTCTTATTATGCTGAAATCCATTGCCATAGAAGGAGGGGAGGCTAAATCGAAAGTCAGAGACATCAACAGACAATGAACAGATAAAGGGCAGTGTAACGTCACCAGATGAGCACTCTTACTATCTAAGAAATAAGAGTAAATGTACAGAATGGTCCAGCCTGGTCTCGGGATTTAATGAATAAGCACATTTCTAAAAGCCATAAGTGTTGTACATCTGACTATGTCAATATGCACTCCATTACTGCTGTCAATTACTTTTAACATTAGAAATAGTGCAAATAAGTATTGCAATGTTTTGCACAACCTCAACCAATCTAGCATGGCCCCATACACAGACACATACTGTATATACACTGTCTAATATTTAATAGAAACAGAACAATAAATGTGAAAACATAAGATATTCATATAACATGTTCCCAATGTTCTCCAAAATACTGCTAATAAACTGTAAAGTAAAACATAATAGGGGGGGAATTTATCAAAACTGGAGCAGACAGAATCTGGAGCAGCTGCCCATAGCAACCAGCTTCTCTCTTCAGTTGGTTCAGTGTAGATTTGAAAATAAAAGATAGAAGTTGATTGGTTGCTATAGACAACTGCTCCAGATTCTGTCTGCACCAGTTTTGGTAAATTCCACTCAATTAGTTTTTTTGTCCCATGGAATAACCCTGGTTTATAACTCATAACACTAGTTACCTGTACCATAACATCTTCCAAATGCAGGGAGTTACTAAACATGCTTTTTATGGCTTACTTTTAAAGTAAAAACCCTTTGGATATATATATAGATATAGATATATATCTATATATATATTGTGGCAGCAGGCTGATAAAAACGTCTGGGTCTAGCCAGAATGCAAGAGATGTATATGCCAGGTTCAGGTGTTATACTACAGCTTGTCCTCTAGGAGGAAGGGCTGGAGGCTTGGAGGTAACAAGCTCAGCTGAAGCTAGCTGGCTTGTTAAGACCTCTACAAAAACTCCCAGCCTCCTAAGGAAGGGCCCCCACCCTAGAACCACTCTGTGTGTCTGGCAGACTGGGGGGAGCGGATCACCTGTGTGGTGAAAACCAGCCTGTGTGGCAAGCATGTTTGAGACAGCCTTTGGGGGAAAGGTTTTGTAGAAAAAGACAACCTGAAGTCGGTGAGATGTAGGACATGTTATATATATATATATAGGGGATACCAGTTTTTTAATATCGAGTACCAATATTTCTTTTTTCAGTACTCGCAGATACCGAATACCGATACTGGAAGTCCCATTAAGGAAGCCGAGCGGCCTGTAATTAATCGCCGCCCGGCCTCCTGATTAGCCAGGAAGCTGGCTCCATGCTCCCTCATCATCAGGTGATGAGGAAGCATGGAGCCAACTTTATGGCCAACTAGGAAGACAGGCGGCGAGTCATTACACGCCACCCAGCATCCTGATTGACCAGGAAGCCGACTCCATGTTCCCTCGGACGCTCCGGTATCAGGATAGGCATCGGGAGCATTTGGGCGAGATCTCCCTCTGACCGGAGGATCTGAAATTTTGTATTGGGACTGTAGCTGCCCCATTGATGTTTTTTAATTTTTTAACCGGATTATTTTTAACTTTATACATTTGTACATATAAAAAATATCATAGCTTATAATCCATGTGAGTTTAATTACGTTTTGGCACCTGGGTCTTTGCCTCTGAGCTTATAAGAAACATTTTTCTGTTGAGCTAATGGGGCTGGGGTACCTTGATCAACCATAAGTCGGATAGAGTAGGTTTTATATGATTATGTTCTTTCTAAGGCAGCCACACAGCCTGAGTAAAAAAGTCTGCCCCCTACCAGCAGCTGCAGAGTAGGATCTATGATCTTTGTAAGGAAGCACTGGTCTTTTTGCAGAGATCCTAAATACTCCCTGCTGAGTCAGACCTATAGAACTACAATCAGCAAACTTGATTGGTAGGACCTCTGAAAACAGGCTCTGATTGGTAGGACCTCTGAAAAAAAGATCAATGCTTCCCCACATAGAGCAAGGGACCCACTCTGCACCATGAGGACAGGGCACAAACGTTTCTACTCAAACTGTGGCTGCTTTCTAAAGACAAAAAACTATAAAACCTTGTACACCTTTTATTTTATTGCACATGGAATGTATTTAGCTGAACTAAAAGTTCAATTGGGCTTTAACTACTTGCCACTATACCAAATTACATGACCTGACGTTTTCACTATGTCAATAGTTGGGACTGGGTGAAGTGGGGTACACATAATTTAGTTCGTGGAGACATGAGGTTTAGGTCTGCTGACTTCCATCATCCAATCATGTGCTATCAAAAATACTGTTTTTTCCTTGCACATGATTGGGTATTAACTAAGCTGAGTGAAAATTTCCTTGCAAACTGAAGAGCAGTTTGCCTTTCATAAATCAACCCCAATGTGCCTCATGGCCCAGACACTGGCTGACACATGCCACACACTCTGGCTGTCCTCCAGTCCCAGCATCCACCTATGCTCTCCTCTTCAGAACACCAGCCACCTAAACTCTTATCCAGACCTTGTTTGCCCACTTACCCTTTGGGATAGGCTCCATAACCTATTTACAAGAACATCTGCACATTATAAGGGGGTTAACCAACCCCTTTACATTTATAGCTCTTTTACAGTAGCAGGACTTGGAAATGTATTAAAAGCAAATATACTGTGTTCTTGGGGCGTCACATCTATGCTTACTGGGATGTGAATCTTTGGGTACGCTCAAACATATACCGTGGGGATCATCCTAGGATCAAAAGATTTTAAATTAGCATATATCAGTTTGTCTTTGCTACTTGGCAAGTGCATAAATACAAATCCATATGAGGTTCTCTCAAAACAGAATGTTTGAAACAGCAATCAAAGCTTTTAACCTTTATATTCACAGCCGCAAGGCAAACCTTAGCAAAAGCCTGGTGGTCCAGTACTTCCACTGTTTTGCAAGTCAAACAAAAAATGGCCTGGTCAATGAAAAGAACGCAGCAACTCAATAAACACATTTCAAAACCCTTTTCCTCTCTCTACTCCGACCCCATACACCCTCTTTAATCCATTTTAGCCCCCCCCCCCCCCTTCTCTCTCTTCCATTTTACTTTGTTACTGGTGTCGGCATGAATAGCAGCCCCTTTAAGCAGCAGGAGCTCAGGCATTACAGCTGTATCATAGGCTATTTTCCCCCTCTCACTGCTAATAATAGCCAGGCCTGCTGGAGGGGTTGGGGAGGTTGGAAGACTGAGTTGGATGCATCTGTGTCTGGACTTGGCCCACCAACAGAACACAGAAAGGAGAAGCAGAGTGTGCCCTGGGGATAAGGAAGCATGAGGGAAGCAAGGCTGTAGCGCAGAGGCAAAGACCCAGTGTGCTGTGCTATCTTTTGCCTGATCTCTGGAAGATTTTCTAGCTATGCAGAGATGTCTAGGGTCACAGTGACCTGTTCAGCAGCCATCACTACCAAGCCTGCTGATCTTGCAGCCTGTGTTGCATCGATTGTCATCTGGTCCAGTGAGGCAGTTGTCTGACTACTGACTGCTGTCAAGAGGACATTTGAATTTGAGAGGAATCTGAATGATGAGAGGTTTATTACTGTAGCTCCTTGCTACCGCCTGTGGAACTCTATTTAAAGGTGAGGGTCAAGTGCTCCCATGCTAAGTTAAAAGTCCCCATAGTTAGCAGAGTTTGCATTTACCTACTCCACAGGCCAGTGGCTAGATAGGACCTAAGCATTATAGATAGGCCACATTCTTATATCTATTCTTTTATAGTTTCATGACAATAACCTCTGTGATTGCTGTTATTATTGTCATTAGAGTTGTTCCTCTTACATTCGCCTTGTGCATTCAGGCAGGTCCCTTTACCGGTGACGAAAAGGAATAAATATTATTTGCTTTACTGCACCTTTTAAAAATGTTGGCATTTGATATTGTGATAACCCTGGCATTATCATTCATATTTAATCAGCACTTCAGCCACAGCGCTTGCCGCTTACTCCAGCCTAAAAAAAGCCAACTATATCACCATTGGTGTGTCAGACTATTGTCGGGTCCTGTTTATAAGCCGGTCTCCACTGGAAACAGAAGGAGAACCTAACATTTACAGCATCTACTTCAGGGTCATTAGTACACTACCGTTGGCTCTGATATTGTCCATTTACCACTGCTCTAATATGGTGGGCAGAATTTACAATGATAGAAAAATCCTTAACTACTATAATGTAATTGTAGCAACCTGAATATAGAGTACTCTCCTACAACTGTTACCAGATCTACACAGGGCTCCAACAAGCGTTGGCTCAAACCAACTGAGATATACCTATAGCTGTTTTTAAAGATCCTTATGCACCATTATGCATGCTTATATGCCATAACCTGTAAACCAGTGTAGCTCTGCTGGTTGTTTTATGGTTATTAATGTACAAAACCAATACAACAATTGCAAAAAAAACAATATACCAGCTCATAATAATTACAGTGAATACATGATAATTATTATTATATAATAATTATAATAAACCCCGCATAAAAAAAAAATCTCACCATAAGCACAAACTTCTGGTCCACATATCGTTTGGCCAGCGAAGGCTGGAAATCCTGGCTCTCCAGAAAGCGGAGGAAGAATTCATACACCAGCTATGGAGAGAATACATGTAGAAAAGAGATTAAGTATAAGAAAAACAAGGATGGAATAAACTAAGAATCAGCATCGTGATTTCGGCTTAATTGATTTCACAACAAAATTACTAATTTTGCCATAGCAGAAACTTGATTTTGCTCATTGAGCTGCTTAGGCAAAAAAAACAAAATCTACTTTGTAGTTTTTTTTTCCTTTTTATAGTTAATGCCATTCATTCTGAGAGATACTCCAACATGCAAATACAGTAACAGCTGTATGTACAAAGCACGTGCGTTGCGGTGCATTGTTTTAAAATTTTCTAAAGTTATGGATACCTGAAGTGTGTGAAACATGTTATTGACATTCACTTAGTGTAAACAGTACATCCTGGTGCATCTTGACATACTATGGCACCTTTACTAATCAGCTAAGCTATGCTTAAGTCTTTGGAAAAGACTAAACAGACATATAAACACTGCATTTAACTAGTAATGATGTTTTACACAATTAATCTTAGAAAGGATTTTATTCATCCATATGATACAGCTATTATTTAGGACATATGCAAGAAGTAACCATGGTAACATCCGCCTGCACATGTGTTCCAAATTTCATTAGGCTTTGGCATATCATACCATAAAAAAAACACAGCATCACACTGCAAAATGTTTGACACCTTTGGTCACACAACAAGCACAAGACCATCACACTAATGAATCATTTTAATAAACCTCATGCCATTATGTTAGTATTTCAATTATTCTAAATCCATGATTAATTCCACTGTTGAAAACATATTATCTTCTAATACCTATATGGGGTTAAATGGGGTTAACACTTCATTTGTTTTTTTTTCTTTTGTTTATCTTCACATTTACATGCAGGTTAAGCTGCCCAACAAAAGTGCTTCGGGGATGGTACAAACTATAACACTAACAGGGGTACCTGGGCAGCTGTAGTAACCCCGTCACAGTCTTTTTTTCCAGAAAGCTTGATAAGAATTGAAATGGTCTTTGGTGAACTTCAAACCCATTATTTTCTTCAATATTCCTTCCTTAAAGAGATACCATGTGCATGTGCTACTTTTCTCACTGCACCACAATGCATGGTATTGTGGTATGCACAGTGGAGGGGCAATGTCCAAAAGCATGTGTTAATTGCATGGTATCGTGCAATTACCACAACGCTATGGTGTGTATGGGCCCCGCCCTTACAACCAAGAACAATTTCTGGTCAAAAGCAGGACCAAGCTGAAAAATACAGTTTTGGTGTACAGTGTTTATTCCAAGTAGCCTTAACACAGATATACATTTGTGAAGACTTGTCTAGTGTTGGTTGGTTTCTATTCCCAGAAACAGAAATACCCTTTCATTAACACTGATATAAGCTGCTATAAGCTCATGGTCACTTCATGAACTTACAGCAAAAGGGTCCCCTAGACTCTGATCAGTAGCTGACAAGCCTTTGATTGCCCCTCCCACTGTCTCTGTTTGCCTATATCTCATTTTAGCCTTCTGATCCCCACTGCTGTGCCCTCCCCTGGTTGAGGGCACACAGCAGGAGAGATCGAATCTGTATAGACTGGTGAATGGGGGTTGATAAAAAAGTTCTCATGTTTACTGATCACTTTTGTAAATAAACACATGAGTGCCAAGTACTGAGCGCTCCAGTGTTCATTCATACCTGAAGGGTTTGTAAACATGACTGACATGTTTACTATCTCTTCAGTTTGTGTATGAACAGGGATGTGTTCAGTAGTAAGTACCAGGCAGCAGAGGAGAAGGAGATAAAGGACTTTCTTCCTTCACCCCTAAGGGGAAACATCAGGGGTCTATTTAGACCTCTGATATTTCTCCAAAGCCCCCACATATTACACATACACATAATTTACGCATGTTCACTTCATCAACATGTTAAGGTCACTGACACCAGCAAGCGTGTGTTATAGTGTGTAGGCCCTAGTGTGCAATGTGCATTGTTACATTGCATCCTCATGGTAATTAAATGCAGAGAGAGACTTCCACTCCTCCTTCCACATCACAGTTCCACTGCTTGGAGTTTTTGCAGGTGCCGGCAAGAGAACTGCATAATCCACAGCAAATGCAATCCAAAGAAACAGTTGCACACTGCCAATCTTCACCCACTGTTTCATTATTTGTAAAATCCAGTAAGCATCAAACTTATGATCCCCGCCTGCTGGTCACTTATCTCTAACGTGCTTCACCCAGTCAGGCTTAGTCGTAGAGTCTCTACGACTAAGCCCATTTGGGTGAAAAGCGTTAGAGGTGAGTGACCAGCAGGCAGGGATCATAAATATTGAGCTGACTGGATTTTACAAATAAAGAAGCGGTGGGTGAAGATTGCCAATGTTCGGCTGCTTCTTTTGATTGCAATTGCATCATCATGAAATCTATTGATCTGCGCTTATAGATAATATATTAATAATATAGGAAATGACACATTAATAGCAAATCAAAGAAATGTGTTTAAATATATAAATTTAATAACATCAGGGGGTTTAGCCCCGCAAAATTGTTGTTTAAATTGCATCATCATGCTTTGTTTTTTCTTTAACTTTTTTTAAATTACATTAATTCAACGCGCTGCAGTACAATAAAATGTGTATGTGCACTAATAATGATTTTAGGGTTTTCTTATATGAATTATTGTTTAATAAACATTTGCACAGATATCTCATGATGTACACAATCAGCAGTGCCATCTTTTTATTCTACAGGTCCCATGCTTTCAGCAAATGTATGGTTTCCGGGAGTATTTTACAAGCTTTTGAAGCTGAAAGATCGAGAAATATGATAAAGTGAAAAATAGCAAAAAAATGGTCCCGCCACCTGATGTTAAAAATGGCAAGTAGGGCCTGGCAGTAAAATGGTTACCAGATCAGCATCATATGAAGAGAGGAGTTACCGTTGCCAAAATCCTCACTTGGGTCAAAATAACACATAATGTAAAAGAGATGTAGAGCTGCATTTGCCAGCATGGTACAAACACCTAAAAAAAAACATCTTTGCATAGATGTCAAATCAATGTATGGATTTGTAGATAGTATGACAAACGCAATGATTTCTATATATGATCTGTTTAGAATTTCAGAAATATGATACATGTAATACATCTACCATGTATATCATGATGAAATGCAAAGTTTGTATTTTCATGTTCGAAATTCTATTCGAGAACAAAATAGATAACATGACTCACATTGAGAAAAGAGCACGATAAAGTACTTTTAGTTTTTACATATTACATGAAGTACATTACTACTGATTATAATTAAATACCGTATATACTCGAGTATAAGCCGTCCCGAATATAAGCCGAGGTACCTAATACAGGATCTATAGTCATAACCCACAACTAAGAGCAACTGCACATGGCTGCTTGTTTCTGACTTTCCTTTGTTTTAAAGGATCTGGAATAATGTGTTTACATTTTGCACTGCAGTAGTGTGCATTTAGAGATTTTGTTGCTTATAGTTTGTATTGCTTATTTTCTCTATATAAGTAATGGGGCCGAATTGTGAATGCATGGTATAAACATCAAAAGCATGCCATCTTCCTTGAAAGCATACTGTTTGACTTGCGTCTAACTCTGACACTTGAGTACACTATCACTATCGGACTTTGGGTTATCATATAGACAACTGAGTCCTGTGGATTTGCTTGTTTAGTCTATGGCCTTTATCCAAACTAATATACCTAATGTAAGTAATGCTTTGCTCAGGTATCTGAATATAAAATTGTCCAATAGTTTAGATGCAATAAATAAACTCTATTTACATTAAACTCCTAAAGACTCAAAGCACTAGGAGTAGGTCTAGCAGAGAAGATTGCTGGTTTGACCTAGTACCTTCACAGTAACTCACTATGGTGCTGCTTTGCTTTCAGACCCAAAACTCTTTAGAACGAAAGTGTTCTAATGATCTTTCCTGCTAAGAAAACAAATAAGTACTCTCCAAGGGGTGTAACTGCTTAGTTCTATCTTCTAATTGGCTGTGGCTGAAGTCAGACCTTCTGGGAAGAAATATATTGACTAGAAAGTAGAGAAAGATAAATGATTATGACATGCACTGCTTTCAAAGGTTAAAAAGTGTATCTAGGTTAATGATGGAGAGGGAAAGAACTGCTGAGCCAGGGCAATGTTGAAATGTTTTGAGTCAGAAGGGGAACATTTTTATGTCCAAGGAGGAGGGTACTGGAAACTAGCTGCCTAGCCTGAGCTTGCAATACTGAGACTGGGCAAAACAAGATAATGGGTTAATGCTTTATAGCAGATGATGCATGAGCAGAGATATAGCAGCCTGGAAAGAGGACTTTTAACAGAGGACTTTTGACTTTTAGCAAAGACTTTTAATGTACGGGTAATTAGACCTAATTCAAGAGTAGTCTGTGGAATAACCACTGTGGGTAAACATAAAAGCTTTATACATACCTCCCAACTTTCTGAGTTGGGAAAGAGGGACACCCTTTAACACAAAGTGTGTAGGCAAAGGACAACACCCCTCCTATGACCCCAGTTACAAGGACCATAAAAAATGAATAAGCAAAAAAGCATTGCCTTAACCCACAAGTGCCTTATTTATTACTATATTTCCGTTATATAGACTTTTTAAAATAATACTGTAATCTGATAATAAAAAGGTGTGTGAAAGGTTTCGTGTGGTGTAACTCTTTTGGTAGTTAAGTATGGCATTTTTTATACAAGTCTACACATCTGTCTAAAAAGAGGGACAGTTAAAGAGGAAAGAGGGACAGAGGGATTTGGCTCCAAAAGAGGGACAGTCCCTTCAAGTGAGGGACATTTGAGAGGTAAGTTCATAAAGAGACCCAGTGTTAATTCTGTGCAGAAAAGGGCACTATTTGCAGATTTCGCTCCACTCACTGTCAAAGCACCAAACAGCACCGGCGGTGAAAGGTCACCCAACAAACACTATGTTACGATGCTCTAATATTGATCCATCCAAACTCTTCCATCCAAACAGTCACAATAAAATACTCTCCTTAGGGTCAAAACTTCTAGAATTCCAGAATTCATATGACTGTACATTAAGAGCTGGAAAATTGCATTAACAAGTGCCATCAAGAAATTATACCTGCAGATGTGGCCAAGAGGGCTCAAAATTTGGCTCATCCTCCTCAGGATCAAATTCTGGATTATCACTGGGCGGTAGTGTGCGGAATATATTCACTGATATCTGAAGACAAGAATAACATAACTTGGATTAAACACAATGTTTCAAAAACTTTACAATTTAAAAACACATACAGACCGGTAAAATAACAACATTAATCTTTTTTCCTCATGGCATAGATTTTGTATTGGAATATTAAAGCAAACCTGTACTGAGAGATATATGGAGACTGCAATTTCCAACCAGCTTCTGAAAATTCTAGTTCTCTGTCAGTCTCTAGTGTCAAAACTTTCTGAGGTACTGTTTCGTAACAAGCATGCATTCAGTGAAGTGAAAACTCCTGATCTGCATACATTTTCTAGTTTAGGGATTAAAAAAAAATTGAATTCAGTGGATCAGCATGACAGCCAGACAACCAGCATTTGCAAAAGATGAAGCTTGCAATGGCAGCCTGCCTATACTCCCTCAGACTCAGTATAGGTTTATATTAAACAGCAGAGAAGGCTAGCCGCTTACCATATAGAAAATGGCCCTGATGTATTATTTGATATATTTAATTAAAATGAATGTAGAGATGTGACTGCAGTGTAATTCAATGCCATAGGTTTTTGTGATAAGTACATACAGTAGATGTGTTATTTACCCTACTTGTCTGACACATTTGAAGGGACGCCCCCTCACTTTACAGTGCGGAACATTATACTGACACAAACTGCACATAGTCTGGTCATAGAAGGTCATCTGGGCACTCTGCCCAGTTGGTAGCCACATTAAGGCTTAACTAGCTTGTCATATTCATAATGAACAAGGTCATCAGAACATTGGAGGACTAGCAGGTGTTCTCTGTATTAAGTTGTGCACAAATCAGTGCTGATTTCTTCCCAGTGCTTTTTGCCCCCCCTACCGATATACTGTATATATGAAGATAGGACTTTCTGCAGGTAAGCCACTCAGGGATTTGGTTTCTTACATCCCTGAGATTAGAACTACACTTGATATGGTAGTTTGGCTTCACATGCTGCAAAATAATACAGTATTTGATTTTAATGGTATAAACAGTATACAGTTCAGGTCTCTGTCGGTGTTGGCTAGTGGAATTACCATAATATTCATTAGCTATAGCTTGCCTTGCCCATGGACACCTTTACTCTGCAAATAATATACTGATAAGCAGCTGCCACCTTTTAGATTTTATGTATTTGGTGCCTTGTGACAGCTTAAACTTATGTGTTGCTGATCTTGTAAAGTGGCCAGAGCTTATAGTCTGTCTACACCAGGGGTGCCCACAATTTGTGTGTTAAGATCTACTTTTCGAATGACAAGCTACATGAGATCTACCAACAAAAAAAAACTCCCTCGCGCTCCTTCTCTCTCGCTTTCCTGGCTGTCTCTCCTTGCTCTCTCTCCTGGCTGTCTCTCTTTGCTCATCCTCCTGGCTGTCCCTTCTCTCTCTCCTGGCTGTCTCTCCTTGCTCTCTCTAAAGTCGCTGCTCTGCAATACTACAGAACACCGGGAAGCTAGACCTCCAACTTCTCCTCCTTTCGTGCTCAGCCCTCCATCCTAACGTCGCTGCTCTCATGCTGTCGGCCTCTGCCTTCATGTGTCAGGCGCAGCAGACGGAGTAGGGCTAAACAGACCATAGGAGGGTTCTCGGGATAGTGAGCTGACTTACAATCGTGATCTACCAGCATCAGCTTTGTGAGCTACTGGTAGATCACGATCTACCTAATAGGCACCCCTGGTCTACACCATGCTGTGCTGCATCGCAAAGCATGCTTTATTGTGCTTTGGGGTGCTCTGCTGCGTTAGGAAGCCTGTTTAAAATGAGAGGACTGTAATGTGCCTCAATTCAAGAAAAAAGTGCATGCTGCATTATTTGCACAAGAGTAGGTTGTGGTGTGCTGTGGTGCATTTCAATAGAGGTGTGTTGTTGGGGTGCGGTGCCACCCCCTACACATGTATGTTGCGTTACTGCAATGTGCATGTGCGATAAGGTGCTTATTTTAGTTAATCTGCTCTCAATGTATTCTTTGACATGTGTGTCTCAGTTTGGATGCTTATGTAGGGAAGAATAGGACCATCTTACAGAAGTGCTTTGATGTGAAGATGTAGTTTCTCATATACCTGCCATTATGACACAAAGTTCCACAATTTTTAATCCTAATGTTAAGAACAATATAACGTATTTATCTAAGTTCTCTGTGCCGGTTGTCTGGATGGATTTTTATTATGATTCCCTTCATTTGAAATTCTGCACCTGTCAGGGTATCTCAGGTACAATACTCACCATCTTGATAACCTCTGGGTAAACTGGCTCTATCAAGACTCCCCTGTTGGTGGCAATACATTCTACCAGCTCATTCAGTGCGGCTCTCTTGATCTCTTTCCCTTTTAGGTCAGCCACACAGTCCATAAAATGGAAGATAACTGAACATTGCTGCAACTTCTTACAGAATAAGTCATGAAGTTCAGAAACAGGAGCATCTGTTAAAAAAACAAGAGGCAGAGAAAACAATAATTCACCGATCAAACGACACACTGCTTTGCATTAGTCACTAAATTAAGTTATGTAGAAGCTGGGTGAAAGTTGGGTTTAATTAATAACAAAAGTGCAAAAGACCAGCGTTACCTAGCTATGAATTAAAGCCTATCCAGCCAAATTTATTTTTTTTGCAGCTATAGATTATAATTTCTGGCAGGTCTGGGACCCCATTGAGGAGATTGTACAAAAGAAGTCACCGGCACTCCAAGGTCCAAGCAACGTTTCAGGACCGAACACACTGTGTTTGCCTCATGAAGGAACCATGTTCAGTCCCGAAATGTTGCTTTTACACTGTGCCACCATGTCTGTATAATGTCTGGATAAAAGAGGGGCTCAACACATTGGACCTTGGAGTGCTGGTTACTTCTTTTGGACATTTTGTGATAATGAGGTGCCATCTACAGGTCATACCAGCACCCATCTATCTTATGGGATTCTGGTCAGAAGTGCTGTGGATTACACATTATCATTGAGGAGATTGTCGCTCACTTTCTGCCCCTATGACTGGCTTGAGGGGTGCAGTAGTCATGGGGACAGGAAAGAAAAGACAGCAATGAAAACATTCTCAGAAGTTATAACCCTTTTTCACTGCACTGCAAAGTTTTTGGCTGCACCCCCTTTATAAAGCTATATACCACCACTTCCCCTCCTAACAGGAACAGTGACACAGGCAGCGATAAACACCTGACAGAAGTTCTGAACCTTGCCTGTTCTAAAAAAAAACCAGTATACTTCCCAACATCAAAAATGAAGAAAGAGGGGCAACCAGCAAAGGTGAAAACTAGGGATGTTCAGATACCAGTGCCGATACTTGGCATTTTCACGAAAACTACCAAAGTTTCAGCGGTTGCAGCTGGGACCTGGCTCTTGTGCTTCACCACTGTCCTGAAATCATTAGTCTGTATTGTTTTAGAAAAACTGTCACATGACAATAAACACAAATGTTTCAGTAATTGTATCTGTGAGTACTTGGACAAGTATCAGTACTTGGACAAGTATCAGTACTCGTACTTGATAAAAATGGTATCGGTGCATGCCTAATATATATATTTAAAAAAACAAACCATACATTTAAACAGGGATGCAAAAATCCCAGGAGCTCCGTATGCTCCTTACAAATGACAGCTGCCTCCTAACGTTTTAATTTTTCTCTAGTCTAGAGCTGGAAAAGTATCTTTAGATGTACTTGTACTTGTACCGAGTACGGTACTTGGTATCTGAACATCCCTAGCGAAAACATGGAGGGTGCTCTGCGGCACGATGAAGTGTGGATAAATTGTGCTGAATATTGGGTGTGGCCTAAAGGAAAATATAGTCTAAGCCTCCTCGCAGTACACACTGCATACATGTCACAGTCCTTGTAGGGCAAATCCCACCTTTGCCCTACTGAGATCCGAGAGAGACTGCTCTAATATTTGTTGACATCCAGCGCTGCAAGTCTCTTCCTCCTGGCCATGTGTGTTTCTCTGCTGGGAGACAGCCCAGTAGATGTCTATGGGGCTGTAATGTAAAGTGCACTTGTCCTTGTTAACTAGTGCACCACAAGTGAGAGTTTCACAGACACACATAAGCCTAAAGGTTTAAAGAAAATAAAACTGAATATTTATTTATGACATTTATATAGTGCCAACAATTTATTAAGAGCTTTACATTAGCCCTACCCTCAAGGAGCTTACAAACTAAGGTCCCTATATCACATGTATGCACATACAAATGCACACTTGGGCTATGTTTAGGCAACAGCCAATTAACATATCAGCATGTCTTTGGAGTGTGGGAGGAAACAGGAGTACACAAGGACAGCCGCACAAGTGCAGGGAAATAATGCAAGCTACATGCAGATGGTATCCTGGCCAGGATTTAAACCGAGGGCCCTGGTGATGCAAGGCAAAAGTTCTAACCACTAACCACAAAAAGCTCTCTGTTTGAGCATGCCTTAAAGAAAACATCCAGAAGCTAACTAGGAAACAGTAATTGTTGAGGCAATACACATTTTGGTCAGGATATGTAATTTAGTGAGTGCATGTGTATGTAGAAAGTGCAGAAGTCAGCAGTATGTGTCATAATGCACCTTATATTGCTGGTCAGCAGGAGGAAAATATGGCCTGTGTCTGTAGTCAATGAGAGAAAAAAATATCCGATGTCAGTGGTCAACGGGAGGAAAAAATGCTCTGCATTAATAGTGATGAGGAGAGAAAATACCTGATATTAGTGGTCAGTGGAAAGAAAAAAAGGCCAGCATCTGTGGTGAGTGGGAGGAAGAAGATGTCTGGTGTTGGTAGTTAACAGGAAGAAAACATCCCAGAGTCTGTGGTTGGTGAGGGGAAGAAAATGATCTGCGTCAGTGGCTGCAGAAAAAAACGTATGGGGAACCTGGCTCCTTGGAAAAGTTGATTCTGTAATATTGTGGAGCCAGCAGGGTCACAGACTTACACACACACATATATTTTGCTTTTAGCATGTGCCTCATTTGGTGGAATATAATACACACATTATAGTGTACAGGGCCGGCCTTAGGCCTTTAGGCGCCCTGTGCGAGAAAGCTTTACAGAGTATATATGTACAATTACTACTTTTAACAAAGCTCTATATCTGACTTGTATAAGGGCTAGTTCACACCATCCTCCTGCGTTCTGGCCCAATTTCTGACTGCCCCGAATGCAGGCACTGATGTGCTACTCGTTCCCGTGAGGCCGATCACATTATGGCCGTAGGGCGTGGCCGCCGGAATGCGATCCAATGCGTTCCGGCCACAATCGGGCTGGAAGGCACTGAGGATGGTGTGAACTAGCCCTCAGCCCTCAGAGAGGACTTGTTAATTACTGTCTGACCTAGAGAGGCACTAGTGGAGCGGTGAGAAAGCTGTAGCTTACAGATTTCCTTTCAATTGACAGGGGAAGCATTCTGTGATGCCTGAGGAAACAGTATGTCTTTGGAATACTGTGCCAGGACAAGGTCAGCCAGTGCCCAGTGCGAAGATGCCAAACTGTGCCCCTTGTGCGGGAGTTAATAGTGGCATATAATATAGTTAAAGCATGCACTAAAATGCAAAATGTTTGTGGCACACCACAGCAAATAGAAGAGTTTAATAGCGTTGTACATTCCGTCCCGAAGTAAAATATGGGACTAACAATGGCAAATAGGGATCAGCTCAGGTATGGAGCAAATTCCCAAATCCCCGCCCACAGCTTGATGTAACCAAAGAGGCGGGATGCAGTGATGCAATTGACCATATATGGCTACATGCCTATGTTTGGTAAATTACATTTACCTAATATATCTATGTGTCTATGTAAAGTAATTACGACAGCACAAGCATCTTACCCCTTTGTTTACATACAGCTGCTGGGCATTGAATGCCCAGTCTGCAGTTGATTGGGCGGAAGTCCCCATGGCCCTTCCTCAGAGGAGCTCTGGTTCAGACCGAACCCAGTCCATAACTAATTTCAAAGGAAGTAATGTCTTGGTATCAGTGTTAAAGGAGAACTATGGGGTCAAGGCTTTTTCCCATAGTTCTCCTTAGGGTAACGGGAGGACACAAACTAGCGTCCTCCCGTCACCCTAAGCTCAGTATACAGCTTGCTGCAGCTAGCGGTATACTGAGACGCCACAGTATACTTCGAGCTACTGCTCGCGGTATACTGAGATGCCACAGCATACCACAAGCTACTGCTTGCGGTATACTGAGACGCCGCAGCTGAAGCGGATCCCGACAATTATGTCTGGATCCGCCCAGCTGCGTGAGTGACAGCTGGCTCTGCCTATCTAGAGGCAGAGCCAGCTGTACCCGTTCCCTCCCCCATCCGTTCCACTAGTCAGTGCTGGCGGATCGGACCGGGGAGGGGGGAATCCAGCCTGTCACGGCAGAGAGCTGTGACAGGATCGAGAGTTGAGCGAACGCCGGCATGTGTTCGCTCACTTCCCGATCTACTGAGCCGACCTGTGACAGTCTCATTGTCACAGGTCGGCTAGAACTATGAGGTGAATGAAAAGCACTCACCTCATAGTTCTCCTTTAAGAAAAAATTTTGCTGCATTGGTGATGTCACAGAAAGAAAAAAAGTGCCCATGCATCAATAGTGTAACTGGAAGGAAAAAATGCCCACGTCAGCAATGCCACTAGAAGAAAAATACACCTGTGTCAGGGATGTCACTAAAAGGAAAAAATTTCACTGACTCAGCGTCTGTGGGGAGCAAATTGCCACTGAGTTGATGTAGGAGGGTGGAAAAAATATCACTCAGTTAGTAGCATGGTGGCATCAGTCTGAGGGGTACTGCTTTGACACCTGTGTCAGTGGGATGAAGAAGGGGAGGGGAACTGGAAGGATGGCTCTTTTGGGTACATTTAACTAAAGGGCCCTGTGTGGGTCTAGGGGAGAGAGGGGAGCTGAAGGACTCTAAGGTGGCTATGAGGCTCTTTGAGGCTTTGAGTTGCTCCCCCCCACCCTCATTCTCACAACCATTCGGAGCTTCTTCTCAGCATGGTGCCAGCCTGGAAATGAAGGCAGCTTCTCCTTCTTCCTATCTCTGGTCATGTAATATGTCACATGATAAGGGGAGACAGGAAGAAAAGCACTCCACCTTCACTTCCTAGTGAGTGACATCAAGTTGCGACTGAGACCTCCTTCCACATAAAAACAGTTTGTCCAGGTCAGCTGCCTGTTCTGCCCCCCTCCTCATCCCAGCACTGCTGGAATGTGCGGTACCCATCTGCTGCTATTATGTGGTGCTAATAGAGAAAGAAAGAGCTTTCTCTCCTACAGAACAATTTCAACTTTTAAGAAAGTCTACACCTTGCTTATATAGCTGTCCCTGAACTCCATGCTGCATAAATACAATGTACATGTATAGGAATAAGAAAATATTGCTATGACTTTCAGTGAAGTTCTCCAAGACATATAGGCACCAAAAAGTCCCCACTAAGTAGTTTTGGCCAGAGTTTT